AGTGTGAGTTCAATACCCAGTTAAGGCAGTGGAGAACTTTCAGAGGGAAAATTAACAGGAGATAACTGTGGAATTAGAACAGTCTACCCCAGTGAGCGAAATAAAGGGTTCAGTTCGACATTCCAACCACCTGAAGAAGGCCAAAGCGTACAACGGCCGAAACGTTGTAATAAATATTGCGACAAAGATGAGGACAATAGTCCGAATAATGTACATAATACCTCATCTCAGAAATATATATATATATATATATATATATATATATATATATATAAATTCATGAAGATACATCAATTGTTTTTTGTATGAATGATTCATGAATTTATAAATAGCACCTTTAATTGAAATATATATATATATATATATATATATATATATAATCTTTCGTAAGTGAATGTAATGGATTCGACTGAAATTCGAACTCGTCTCCTCGATTTCTCAATCCGAACCGCTATCCATTACTGAACCGTGCTTCCAAAAATAACGTGTTTCTTTATCACATTTTTGTTGGTATTCTTATGTTAAGTATGATGTGTGGTTTTTCTTAATTTTCTGATTAATAGAGAGTGTTGTTTTTTTTATGGCTGTACCGTTCTTTTATTCATTCGGCTTTTAACTGTTCACAAAGCTTAGGATACATCGTAAAATGATTGTCGGATTGAAGTCCTTTATGTCCTTTAATTTGTTGCTAAAGTATTACAATTTTATTTTTATTTTTTATATCTTATTTTTGGAATAGATGATAAATTTTGGAAATCGTTGACAAAAAATGTTTTATTATTTTGTTAAGTTGCTGGTCAAAAATGTAGAGGATTTTTTGTGGAATTGAGAATATTTTACAATAATTTAAGTCGTTTACCATTATTTTTTGTTTTTTTTTAATTTATTTATGAGAAAAAATTCACTAGATTCATCAAAATGCTGACATGTGGAAGTGTATCTGAAAAACTCCGAGTCCGGAAGTTGGGTCAGTGAAATTTTTATTTATTTGTTTACTAGTAACGGATATTTTTTTTAATATTGTGTAATTTATCTATGAAAATATACTCGCCTTAAGAACGTTATCCGCCAGTTATTTACTTGTCCATGTGTTTTTTTAGGCTTAATTAGTTTTCCTTTCTTGAACTCATAAAGCATTATGTGCCTCAAATGATTCTTGGGTACTTCCATGTTAGCAGGGTTTTAATCAAAGAAAATTTAATTTTATTGTTCTCTGAAATAAAATTTGATCAGTTTAAATGCATCTAAACATAAAAATAATGTTCAACTCCATTAGACATTATAAAATACTCTTTAAATTTCGTTCATTTTAACCAAAAGTTAAAATTCTGACAGAACTTATGGGATGATCTGATATATATGATGTATATATGATGTCCAAAATGTTGTACATTGAGGAAGAAGTAAGAACCATGGCCTAGGTTGGAGGTGATGTGCATATGTTAAAATGTTTGTCCCTTTATTGCTTTGCGACGAATAATTGCCCCAAACTTTTAAAAAACAAAACAACGTTTTATCGTCAAGATCTTTGTTATTATTAAGAGGAAAGACCAAAGGATTATTTCTATTATTAAATTATATTTTTATACTTTTTTGAAGGTTCGAAATTTTGGTTAAAAATCTTGTTTTCTTGCATCAGAGGGCAGTAGTAAGTATTAGTATTGGAATTTTTAGCTTCTTTTTTGCGGTAAAAACACATTGATTTGTAAATTCTGGTAAAAATCAAATACTTGTCGGATTTTAATGAGACATTCAGGAATTATTCACAAATGAATTATTTTAGAAATTCTTTGAAATTTTTTTTCACATCTGTTACTCCCCCAACCCCGACACACACATTTATTTAAATTTACGAAATTTCAAGAAATTAAATTTTGAACAGCTTATATTACTTGAAAGCAGTGTAGTCCCTGGAGAATTTAAGCCATCACTTTCTTTTTTGTAAAACATGATACCTAGTTACCGAAAAATCTACACTGAATCATAATATATGATATATATATATATATATATATATATATATATATATATATATATATATATATGTGTGTGTGTGTGTGTGTGTGTGTGTGTGTGTGTGTGTGTGTGTGTGTGTGATCGCAAAGGGTGTGAAACATAGGTCAAAAATTCACATCAATGCAACTAAATATGATATTGAGCGCTTTCCAATAAGTCCTTGCATATATAATATATAAATAAAATATATATATATATATATATATATATATATATATATATATATATATATATATATATATATATATATATATATACACTTACACATTATACATAACTGTGATACAGCGAAACAGTCTGTCTGTGAATGACAATATATGCTCCTGAAAAATTTATTTCGGTTGAGCTCTCTGGGGAGGGAATGTGAGTTTGTAAACAGTGACTATTACGGCTAATAATGCAGGACTCTTCGGTAAATCGAATCGAGCTTTCTCAGTCACTGTGTGTTTATCTAAAAATAAATACGCTTAAATTTACCTTCAACGGCTTAGTGGTAGAATCCCCGACTGACGCCAATTCAGTCGGGTTTCGACTCTAGCTAGAGGCAACCGGACGTCTAGCCACAGTGATGAGCTGTGATACAGCAAAACAGTCTGTCTGTGGATGATATATATATATATATTCCACAATACGTTTAACAACATTCTCCGGATAACTATTATCCAGGAAATTATTCTATATGTTCCCCCCATCATCTCCAACTTAAAGGGTGAATATATGACCAAAGCACGATCAACCAATGTAGAGATTAAATTAACTTTGCGGAACTTAAGGACAAAAGAATTCCAATTCGTGTCAAAACCATTAAAAGTGGGCCTACGATAAACTCATTCCGTTCAACCAGTACATCGAAAAGGGTTAGGATAGAATGACTCTCGACTTCCATAGTAAACCGAAGGGACAGATGAAGGGAATTAAGCTTAAGGTGGAAAGTCCCCACTTCCTGAAAAGAATTAAACACAGAAAAAGTGTCATCCACAGAACACAGATATATACACGGTTCATGGCAACTTTCAACTAAATGATTTTCATAATACCAACAAAATACTGACCAAAACAGGACCCAACGAGCTACCCATCGATATACCATTAACCTGGGCATACATAATATTATTAAAACTAAATTCAATCCCGTCTGTGACCAAATACATACACTCCAGAAACGAATTTTCCGGAATACTAGGAGAACCGAGATGATTCGTATAAAGAGCATCAGTACAGATTTGTAATGTCTTCTAAAGGGGAATATCAGTGAAGAAGATGACAATATTAAACGAAACCAACAGCTTGTCCACCGAACACAAATCGAAATCTTCTAATAAACTTAGAGAATTGAAACGAATCTAGGAGACAAAAGAAGATTACAAATCAGAAACAGGCTGCAATAACTCAACCAACCATTTTGCCAATTCGTGCTTCGCCGAGCCCAATATAGACAAAATAGATGTAAGAGGAATACCGTCCTTACCGAACACAGGTAAACCATTCTAACGCGGGCGTTAAGACCTGTAGGTCTAATCTTTTCAATCTTTTAATAATCTCGTTTATTTACATCTATTTGTTGTTTTAATAATAAATTTATTTTAGTCTTTACTCTTTATTTACTCTTCTATGTGTTTTTTACAGTTTATATATATATATATATATATATATATATATATATATATATATATATATATATATATATATATATATATGTGTGTGTGTGTGTGTGTGTGTATTTTAAATGTTATTTTTAGAGGATACCTACATTTGAGTAGACGCTCTGTAACAGTATATTTATTTGCGTATGAAAAATATATATTCTTTAAAATAAACGTGCGTCTACATAAATATGGGTATCCAGTAAACATAACATTCAAAAGTGATAAAAATATGTCTTCTGAATAAATAAAAATCTATTACATCTTTACAATACACACATTTATGAGTGCGCGCACACGCACACACACACACACACACACACATATATATATATATATATATATATATATGCACATTTAGTTAAAGATCAACATTTAATTATTAAATATTTTAACGAATGCACATGCACAAAAAACACACACACACACACACACACACACACACACACACATATATATATATATATATATATATATATATAGAGAGAGAGAGAGAAAGATGGTATGAACAAAAATTCCAAGGAACTTTAGCATCATCTGCTTCAGAGATAAATTCTGTTAAGTTCTGGTTTTCCGTGCGAAACACACACACACACACACACACACACATATATATATATATATAGAGAGAGAGGCAGACAGACAGACAGAGAATAATATTAATTAATATTTGCATATGCGTATATTTGTGTATACATTTACGTCAAATAATTAAATGCATATACGCGTATATATAGGGACGTTTATTCTGACGCCCACACGCAAATACGCTTAAAACTGAGATTTTTTTTATTTGTCGTATATATGCGTTGGTTTCTGCATGTGTTTCTGTTTGTGCGTATGTTACCTTTCATATTCATCTATTCCAGTTTAGAAATACATACATACATACACAAACACACACACACATACATATATATATATATATATATATATATTAACGTCACGACTGAAAAACACATACACACATATGTAGCTAAGTGTGTCCTTGCGTTTTTGTGTTTATGCGATGGATAGGGGTGGGTAGGCATCACATATAAGTAATGATAAGTAATGATATAGAAAGAAAGTTTTTACAGCCTCCCAAATGACTTTTAGGTCTGTTAGACACGATGTGGAACCCTGCCCAAATAAACCACACCCCATCCTACCCACGAAATCTTTCCCACACTTTTTCGCACGCACACTCTCACATACGCGCATATTCACACGAGCAAACATATGCAATCCCACACACACAGATGCATATATATATATATATATATATATATATATATATATATATATATATATATATCAACAAATATATATATATCTATATGTATTTCCATATGCTAAAAATTATTCTTGTTCTGCAAAGATAGATAGATAGATAGATAGATAGATAGATAGATAGATAGATAGATAATCATATGAACTGTTACTATAAAAATAGCATACGCAACACAGTCTTTTTCTGGTCTTTCTACGAAAACCCACATTTCTGTTCTGATACTGAACCTTGGAAATAACAGTGTACTTTAACTTTCTTTTAACTGTATGTGAATAAATAATATCCTACGTTTCATACACACTATCAAATAAATATTTATACGCTTCTAGATTTACACAATCTCGTAATTGCACATAAAGCATGTCTTTTCTCTCGATATATATATATATATATTTGTATATATATATATATATATATATATATATATATATATATATATATATATATACCAGTTTTACTAGTTTTCTTCTGCGCGCAGGGACGTCTATGAAAACTTCTACAAAACACCAGCAAAATTCGTTATCTCAGAATAGGTCCCACAATTTTTCCTGCTACTGCTTTGGAAATTGAAGATGAAGTTGTATAGTCAAAACACTACCCATTCACTCTTGCCACTACTGATGTCAAGTATATTACAACAAATATGTCCCTTTACCGCTGAACATGTCAAGGTATTTTTTTTTAAATTTATGTGCTGAAGTACTTTCATTAACATTATGATTTGTTGCTTTTTATCACATCACTCTTTTGCATTATCGCTTTTATTAATAGTTTAGCCAAACCATTAAACATGTCTTAGGACATTCTGTGCTTATCATGACATTGATAATGCTACCTGGAGTCACCAGTAAAAGGGAGATAACTCTAATACACACACACACACACACACACACACACACACACACACACACACACACACACACACATATATATATATATATATATATATGACGGCTACACATCCGTGGCACAAACAGGCTGCCAAGAATGAATAGGTTCCTATCCGCAACCTCCGGAAATCCGTTGCTACACGCAATTTCTGAATTTCTGCAGTCATTCATGGGTGGCGTAGCACTGTAGCCTCCTAGCACCCATCAGCCTTGGAGATTGTTGCAGACGATTTGAAGTCATATGAAAATGCATGAGAATGAAAAAAGGAAAAGGTTTTCACGTGTCGCATTTATAAAACTGAATAAAAAATTAATTAAATTTTCCTTGTCTGTCATATTTAACGAAAGATGTTTAAAAGAACGTTTCTGCCCAAAGATATATATATATATATATATATATATATATATATATATATATATATATATATATCAGATTTCTTTATCGGATGGGGTTATGATTATGTTTTGTTCACGGATAAGCTTTTTTAATACCAAAGAATCTTCACTATCCACGAGATACCTATTGGTCTAAAATAAAACATTATATATATATAATGTCCTGACGATTGCATCTAGCATGAAACAGACTGTCGCCTCTAAGTGTTGACTTCTATGTTCACTTTTATATTTACACACGCTCTATCTCTGATATTGAGCACTTTATCCCATCAGAATAGCACATCTTAAGACTATATTTCTTCATATATATATATATATATATATATTATTATTATTATTATTATTATTATTATTATTTGATTTCTGGTGTATACTCATTTCTTTCCGGCTCCTGACCAGAGACCTAAGGTTAGGAATGACATTTTCTACTAAGCATTTCTGTGAAAAAAAAGAATTAAAAAAAAACAAAGATCACATATATTTTACATAGATAAAGCTCTTCGTAAGGTATGGGCTGTACTTGTGAGTACAATTTGTTTTATTTCTTTATGGTATAAGCTACCAGGATTCCCTTCAACCAGTTTATTGGAATCTTTTCCAATCAATCCGAGGGCTCCAACTACATCTGCAATTATTGATGTCCTCATGGGCCACATTTTGGATATTTTGATTTCAATGTCCTTGTATTTTCATTTTTTTTTAAAGATCTTCAAAGATACATTAAAAACTGCAAGGCCTGTCATGTCAGTAAAAAGGCATATTTTGTTTTTGCAGTCTCTGATCAAAATGTCTGGGCGATTAGCTTTGACTGTGTATATTGTAAAGTCCTATAAAACTGCTAGAGTTCCTATCTCTTTAACCGGGTCTGCGTGGTATTATTACAAATTTCAAGCTTTGTCATATCCGTAAAAGTTACAGATATTCCTATGCAGATATTGGACCACTCTGTCATGCCAAATTTTATATCCAGTGAGTTCCAATAGCGCGCAATCTGATACAATTGTTTCTACATATTTTTCACAAAATCTGCATTGTGGGCTAACATAATTTTTCAGTATGCGTGCATTTTAATTTGTAAGTATGAGTCCAGTGCAGCAAGAATAAAACCTTCGGTTTCAGCTTGTATCCCTGCATTATTTACCCCTGATGGGTACGAGGTTTGTCTACATCAGCTTGTTTGGTGCGGGCAGAGTATTGACCGTGAAGAGTTTTATCCCGCCATCGTTTTTGTATCTAGTCGATTGCATTTGCCTTTGCTTCGTTATTTTTAAAGATTTTTGCAACTGCAGTCGGAGTATTATGTTTTAGTTTTATTTCTTCACCCAATTGAAATTCCCTTTTGAATTTGTTGGTTTCCTTGATTACTGAATAAAGTTTCTTAATTCTTTCATGCCCTTTGACACAAATCATAATCTAGTCTTCTATAGTTTCAGGTATCTTTGAAAACCGATTGTTGTGATTTTGTAAAACAGTTCTAGTTGAACTAATCCTCTGTCTCCTTCGGATCAGGGCACATTTAGACGATAAACATCAGCCTTAAGATGATTTATGCGGTGGCAAGTGAGAAGCTTTCTTGTTTTGGTGTCCATTTGCTTAATGTCAGCTATGGTCCTTTTAATATTATTATTATTATTATTATTATTATTATTATTGAGTGAGAAAGCAGCACACCAATGAATTGGTTATCGATACAAATACCTTCTTCTTCTTCTTTTTCTTCTATGTACCGCGTCCCTTCAGGACATAGGCAATAATGTCTTTCTACGACTTTTTATCTTGTGCAGCTCTTGTCAGTTTGTATCCCTTTACTAAGTCCCCACCCCCGTTCTAACATTCACATAAGTTCGTCAGCCAAGTATATCTCTACCTTCCCGTAACTCTCTTGCCCTCACTATGACCCGTGAATCTTAAGTTTTCTAAACCCGCTTCCCTCATTATGTGTCCAAGGAATTTCAGCTATCTTTTCCTACTTCTGAGTAGAAGTGTTCTTTCTGTTGCAGTTTTAAGTCTTGCCCTCAATATGCCCTTTGAGGGTTAAGTTTTCCAAGCCCTCCTTTCTCAATATGTGTCCAAGGAATTTCAGCTATTTTTTCCTGATTCTGAGTAGAAGTGTTCTTTCTGTTGCCATTTCCTTTAAGATTCTTTGTTGCTTAATCATTCTAGTTCGAAGTTTGGCTGAGTTTTCTTGAAGGAATTTGACTGTAGCTCTACTTCCTCTAACGTCAACGTATTCTTCGAAATAGTCTCTCTGGATATCTGTATCTTCAGGACATGGGCGATCATAGCTCTCCACAACTCTCCACAACTCCCTGTCCTTCGCACCTCTTAATAAATTTTGTCTTTTTGTTATTTCTCTTAAACATTGCTCCGCCATCCATTAATACAATCTCATTCGTCTATGTACCGTGTCCCTTCAGGACGTAGGAGATCATGGCTCTCCAAAATTTCCCGTTCTTCGTAGCTCTTAATAAATTTTGTCGATCTGTTGTTACTCCTAACTCACTAAGTACGTTATGCATTGTTTTCCTCTGTCCCTCTTGCCTTCCTGTGAATATCAGATTTTACAAGCCTTCTTTCCTCATTATATGCCTTAAAAACCTCAACCCTCTTTCCTTGATGTTAACTTTCCTTTTTGTTTACATTTTCTCTAAAACTTCGTCGTTGCTCACATGTTCACTCTTTGGTATCCTCAGCATCCTTCTGTAGAACTACATCTCTATTGCTTCGTCTCTTCTTCATCTTTGAGGCGATTGTCCAGCACTCATTGGATTACAAGAGGATAAATATCACGTAACAGTTTAGTACTCTTTTCCTTGTTTCTAGCGAAGTTTTCCTATTTCTTAGTACTCTGCTTTTGGAAGCCAACTTTGGCTATCACAGTACGCCCTCTGATTTCAAAATAATCAAACATAAAAGATTTTTAATTCATTGTCGATTTGTAATAATATTACAGCTATATAAAGATAAATTCGTGAAGATATTATTTCAGTCAAAAAAATGATAGAATTTTGTGTGGGAACAGACAGAAAATTATAATTTAATAAAACGCTATTTACTTTCAGATTAGACAGAAATTAATGTAAATAGTGTACGTAATACCTCATCTCAGAAATATAGACAGATACAAAAAATAATCTACATTTAATATTATTTTAATTTTTTTAATTTATTAAATAAAGACATGTTCGAAGATTCCAAAAATGTAAAGTTTGATGCCATTTTCGAATGTAAACATTTTTTTTTAATTTATTTTAGCAGCTGTTAGATTATTTTTGTATGGATGTACACACAGGACAAAACTCTAATATTTTCTGACTACTATTCAATATCGGAAGAGCATTATGATATTAATCTAATTTCAAATCTCTCGTTCAGTCAGTGTTTTGTATCTTGCAAGCACTTTTTTTCCGATCCATCGGTACTGGTGGTTTTTTTTCTTACATTTATTTACAGATTCTTGTATGTCACAAGAACCAATATTTACTTCAGCAATTAAAAGTAAATTTGTTCTTTTAAGATTTTATTATTTAAAAAAGAAATCTTTGTTTTATTTTTTCCATCATAATTTGTTTCTCTTGCAACCAGGAAAATGTTCAGAATTACGACAAAACTATTTCATTCGCATAAAAGAAAAATTTATACTGTAATTTATAAGATAAAGAACAAAAAGGAGACGTTTATCAATCTAACTTTTTTCACTTTTATTAAAGCTTCATCAGATAATGAGCTACGGAGAAAAAGAAGAAATAAATTCTGGTCTTTTTTACTTTTTTGTTGTTTGATTTTCATTCGTTAATCACGTGAATTCGACTTGTTAAACAGACGTTAGTATAATTTTTGGCGGTCAGAATTCAAGGAGAG